ATGAATATTCAATCAATCAATTATCATGCAATTAAGAACGAGAATAAAATACAAGAGTAATGAAAAGAAAATATATTAAATTACAAAAATCACAAAGAGTTAAGATACATTAGGTTCAACCCCGTGAACAAGGGAGATAGTTACTTCTATATATTTTGAATACTAGAAAAGAATAATGATGAATGTCTTCAACCTCCAGAATGAGTCTCTACTTTCTCTTCTTTTAGATCGAGTTCCCTTTCTCCAAAAATAATTACATTTAACTATGTAAAGTCTTTTATTTATAAATTTTACAAAACTCAGAGCTCGTTGGGCAAGTTAAACACTACTCACTAGGTGAAGTGGGTTGGCTCAATGGGCGAATTGGCTCGAACTGTACTAAACATAAAATTTGTACTTGATTTTGTACTTGATTTTGTACTTGAAGTAACCAACTTTAGTGATTTCCACTTATCTATAAAATTATAAACCAAACATTTATATTTTCCAAATTATTAAATAAAACCTTAATTATCTAAAATTAATAAATAAAAAAACCAATGAAAGATAAAAATAAAAAAATAAAAAAAATAAAAAAAAAATAAAAAAACATGATAATGATAGTTATTAGTGACGAACTCAAATGAATACAATATGGGTGAAGAATCCTAGGTGTACGATATAAGAAGATCATCATTAAAATACTTGTGGTTGGAAATGCTTCTGCTTGATAGGGAGTGTACCAGTATAAAAGGAAGTCACTCTTAAAAAGAGATTGTTGGAAATCCAAGTGTGAGTCTAAGTCTCTCATTAAGTAGAAATGAGAAAGTTGAACACCTTGTAAGGTAGAAGACCTATAAATTCACACTGCCTTAAAGTCTTAAAGTAAAGGTGGTGTCAATTTCTTATCCAAATTGTAAGTTGGACTCGTGTTTCATTGATATTGTATCTTCCTAATGAATTCCACCACGAGAACAGAAATAATTCCCAATTTTTTTTCTTATCTTTCCATGTGACTATTCAACTACTTAATTAAAAATATAATAAAATTACAAAGAAAATCTAAAATTAACTTTTAATGTCCACTAATAATTAACTCTCCCACTAATGTTGTCTTTAATTCCTACTATATACATAATTATTTTCCACAGTGGGAATCTGAATAATTCACAATTACTTTTCCTAAAAATATAATAAAATTACAAAAAAAAAATCCAAAATTATTATGATACATAAAGATCATACTAGCAACAAAACTCTCACTTTAGCTACGAGATATCAATTAAGTACCATCTAAAAACTTGAGTGATATACATATAGAGAAATAATTGATTATGTATCTTTTTTTACTTGAACACTTAACAAATGTTTGAATGTTTAAATTTTTAAAGAAGTAATCAATACTAACTCTATTATTCATGTAACGAGTAATATGGCTTAGTACATCAAACCACAAAGTTTCAGAATTCACTTATAAATTGTGTCTCTTTGTTAGAAATCATCTCATCAGATTTCCATTAATATGATAGTATCAATATATACATCAAAACAAGTGGAATGGTAGTCTATGATTTTGGATCCTATGATTGTGAATTTCTATGATTATGGATCCTATTCATATGATTTATTTCTAATAATTATTTACAAAAGAGAAATATCTTCTATTCATTTATTTATTTATGTTATCTAACACTTTTTATTGCTCGAGTGATAAGAGTTTTAGAGGTGAGAAAATTATTTTGATGTTCAAACCCAAATTACAACTTAAGTGTGAAACTTTATTGCTTGATCAACCAAAAGAATGCTCAAATAATTGTACTCTGTATTTTGAGTAAATACTACCACTTAAACATCACTCGGACCTAACATTCAAACGGTATATAAAAAACTAAAAGATTGATAAAATATATTATATTTTCCATTCTACCAATTTTATTCATTCTAAAGAGTTGTATACTTAAATTATTAAATGAATAAATAAAATTATAATATCATATTAAAAACATTTCTTCTAAACCAAAAAGATGGATCTTTAAATTTTTTTAATTATAAATAGACGTGAATATTTTCTTTTTAATTTTTAAAAACTATATTATGTTTTAGCCAAACATACCCTATAAAATTGGAATGAGACTACATATACTTTTGAGAAATAATTTTGACAAGTTAGATATCCATCTATTTTAAGTGATAAATTTTTAACGTAATTATATATATATATATATATATATATATGATAATTGTGAAAAATAGTTGTTTTTACACTTATAAATGAACTCAATCTCGTAATTATTCATGTTGTTCTTCACTAAAAAGTTGTAATAGGGAGTAGATTGTTATGTAAAATATTGTACAAGAAAGGGTGTATTATTTGGACCTGTCAGCCATTCTCGCTCAGTGCAAGCCAAAATTTTCGTAGAGCCAGCAGGAAGAAATTCGCATAGCGCACCATCACCTGTGTGCTAAGCGAATAGCACCAGTTAAAGAAGCAGCAGTTTGAAAATTCGCAGTGAGCGAATTAATTAAGTTAAGTGACTTAAAAAGACGTGACAGAAAGGAAAAACCATCTTCGAGAAAAATAGGAAATAGCTTTGCAAGACTTCGGGAGACACTCAGGAGACCTTTCAAGACATTAGGACTTCCTTTTCTGCAAGGAATTGTTGAAAAGAGTACGTTTGAGATGTCTAGGATAGGCTAAATTTTCTGTTCATTGGAATTGGTTGTATGACGATACATTAATGTAAATTTCCTGTGTAATATATGTTTCTGTTCTTGTTCATTTCTTTGACTTGCTTTTGATTATACGGAAGTATAATTCTCTTTAAAAGTTCTTTTATACTGGGAAGTATTTTTAGAACTAGAAACCTAAGAAAAGAAACTAAAAGTAACTACGCTAGGAATAGCTTATGTGCTTTTGGTCATTCTCAACATCTGAATTTAATGCAAAATTATGTGATGAATTAATTAAGGAATTAATAATTCAATAGATAATTTTAGAACTTGTTTTAAGGAATTAAACCAGGATACTCTTATGTGAATGCTTGAACAGAGAATGTATGATGTTCAGGATTTTAATGCAATGTTAGTCAAAGACCCATTCTAGTGATCTTTTATCGTATTTTTCAATTTTAATTTTTTTTACGTTGTTAATTTCATGCTAATTTTCAAATTCAAATAAAAAATGTTATCATCGATAATTGATCTTGATAAATAATTTTAATTGAATAACATGACTCAAATTTTCTTGAAAAACGATACTCTTAACTTAATTCACTGTATTACTTAAACGATTTGGTATATTTGCCAAAAAGTTATCAGTATATATTATTATTATTATTATTATTATATATCATTTAGATATTTTTTAAAAAGGAATTGGGTTCAACTTTAGACATGACAGGTATAATAAAGAGAGAAACATAGAATTTTGTCTCGGGTATGATTTCACATTTTTACTGGTCCCACGACCCTCCACTTGTATTTTTTCATGGTCCTGTAAATCAATCAGTGAGCTACGTAGCACACACTAATTCAGTGTGTACTTAAAAAAAAGAAGTTAAATATAATAATTTTTTTAACCATATGATTAATACATATTATATTCCGTATCCCTTTGAGTACACAATATTACTTTTAATATGATTTATTTCCTAACTAATTAAGTGTATGCATATATGTAAATTGTTTAAATTGGAATGAAAATGATGTAAATAGTATTAACAATGTGGATTTTAGAGAATATTCATAGGATTATATATATATATATATATATATATATATATATATATATATATATATATATATATATATACGCGTTCTGACTAGATTTAACATAACAGTTTATCAAATAAATTGACTTGATTGTTGATAAGTGACCAAATTGTGAATCGGCATGAGAAGAAATTCACCTATAAGGACTTTTTACACTAAAATAAATAATATATATATATTTATAATATTGTTAAGTCTATAAATAATCAATACATATTATTAATGAGTTTTATGATTATTGAGTTTTCTTATTATAAATAAATTTTGATTTATATCATGAATAATATTATATGTTTCATAAATATTATTTTTTCCTTATTTTAAAAAAATTAATATTAGGAGACCTATCAAATTTATAATATATATATTAATAAAAAGAAACATTGATTTACTTGATAATTATTTTATTCGTGAATAACATATCTAAAACGTGGATCAACTTATAATCGATTTGAGTGAAATTAAACTCAATATTATTAAATAAATATCGTTTTTGAGTATGCATAAAAGAAATGCACAAAATACACAAATAGTCTGGTTTCAATCTCAAGTTTTTGAAGGTTAATGATTTCACGACAATTTTACCTTGAATCGTGCTCTAATAGATTATAAGGAAAAGAAATGTTAAAAAGTCTTCGTCACAATTTTGTTTTCGAAAGAAGTTGTAATGTGTTAAAAACAATACCTTTATAGATTATTTCAAATTGATTCCTAGGTGACATGATTGGAAGAAGTCTCTCAAAGATTAAAAGAATATAAACCCTTTTTTTCCTAAAGATAACGATAATATTCTTGGAACAAGATAACAAGATAGCATTCGCTTTAAAACCTAGTTACTTATCACAATTTTAAGATTCAAAAACATCTTAATGAATAATACTATACCAGATAAGCCTTTTCAAAATGATAAAGACTATGAAAACAAAACTATAACTATTTTACAGTAAAAATATACGAGCGAAAACTAAAATAAGTTTATTCCAAGAAATAAAATTAATTTATATAAAAAAATTGAAACTATATTTAAAAAAAAATTATATAATCCTTTTTTTTCACGTATATTAATTTATAATTATAAAAAATATTTTTTCTGCTAACAGAAGTTTTCGGAAACATGAAACAGATGTATTGATTTGAGGTTGGAAATTGATGCTGGCAGCAATGATTGGTGCATTTTTTATTTTATTTGTGTGTGCTATGCTTTGGTTTAATACAATGTTAGCAATCACTTAAATCATCTATAATGTTTTGAAAACTTTGGTAAGTGAAATTTGGCTTCATTCGTTTCCCTGTGTACGTCCCCATACCATCCACACAAACACAAATTACTATACCTAACTCAATCCCTCACATGGGACATAGCAAAAGCAACGCCATCACGCACACTATGGCTTTTTGTTTAGTTTGTGATGGAATATCTCTAAACTTGTTTCTTCTCTCTGCAACATTTGTTCAGAGGTAAATTTCCTCTCCATGTCTTCTTCCTCCATGTCCTTTCAACTGCTCCATCATATACCATATGGACACCGATTCTAGTTTCTTGCTTCATACTTTCACACAATACCAAACACCATAGCTTTTGCCAAACCAGTCTCTACATGGCACCCTTCATCATCTTCAAGTCCAAGCTTCAATCTAGAGTACTTGTTCTTGTCCTCAACTTGGCTTTCGTCTTCCTCTTCTGTCTACTTCTCAACCTTTATCTCCACCCTCCTAACGAAAATTCTCAAGGCCACTCCAATGCCTCTTTCCTCTCAATCTTCAACCATGCAAGGCTCTTCAGAGATGTCAGCGTTGAAGGCTGCACTGATATACACAAGTATTCAGATTTTGACTCCAAGTGTTTGTATGTCAGAACTAATCTCGAGTGCAGGTCAAAGGGATACATCAACTATCTTCAAATCTTCTACTGCAACTCTGGAAAATTCCCAATTTTTGGACAATCCCTCCTTGCCTTGTGGCTTGTAGTGTTGTTTTATCTGTTGGGTGACACGGCTTCCAACTACTTTTGCAGTTCCTTGGAGGGTTTGTCCAACATCTTGAGGCTCTCCCCCACCATTGCAGGAGTGACCCTTCTTTCTCTGGGAAATGGCGCTCCTGATTTCTTTGCCAGCGTTGTGTCTTTCTCAGGATCATCCAGCAACGGTGCCGTAGGACTCAACAGCATCCTAGGAGGTTCTTTCTTTGTGTCGTGTGTTGTCTTGGGGGTCATAAGCATTCTGGTTAGCCCAAATCAGGTTGAGGTTGAAAAGGCCAGTTTCATCAGGGATGTCCTTTTCTTCCTTCTCTCTCTTTTCATCCTCCTTATCATAATTTACATCGGTAAAATCACTTTGTTTGCTTCAATCTGCTATGTTTCTATCTACTTCCTCTACGTCTGTGCCGTCTCAGCCACACATCTCATATACGGAGGGGACACAACAAATGCAAGGCAATATTCAATGTCTTCTGAGGAATCATCAGCGCCTAGCATACCTTTGTTGGGCTATGTTGATGAAGAGAAACAAAGTTTGGCAGAGATAGTGGTGGTTGAAGATAAGGACCAAAAGCCAGCCAGTACTTTCGGTGATAAGTCATTCTTTGGTTGCCTCTACTTTGGAAAGTTGCTACAAGTGGTAGAACTACCTCTTTGCTTACCAAGAAGGCTTACAATTCCTGTGGTGAGTGAGGAGAAGTGGTCAAAGCCATTTGCAGTAATATCTGTCACATTAGCACCAGTTTTACTTGCAGTTCTTTTCAACACTCAAGGTGAAAACGTGGCTTCAAGGAGTAGCCTGGTTACATACATAGTAGCTGCTTTGATTGGGATAGTTTTGGGCAACATGGCATGCGTGACAACTGATAGGTGTAGCCCACCAACCAAGTCCTTGTTTCCTTGGTTAGCTGGTGGCTTTGCCATGAGTGTAACATGGACTTACATAATTGCTGCCGAGCTAGTTTCTGTCTTGGTTTCAATTGGGAGCATAATTGGGGTTAGCCCTTCAGTGCTAGGACTAACTGTCCTAGCTTGGGGGAACTCACTTGGGGACTTCATAGCCAATGGTGCCATGGCCTTAAATGGTGGGGCAGATGGTGTTCAAATGGCCATATCCGGTTGCTACGCTGGTCCAATGTTCAATACCTTGATGGGTTTGGGGTTACCCCTTGTTCTCTCAGCTTTGTCTGATCATCCAGACCCTTATGTGATTCCCAAGGATCCTTCACTGTATGAGACAATTTTGTTCTTGATGGGAGGGCTTCTTTGGGCACTTGTGATCTTGCCAAAGAAGAGTATGAGGTTGGATAAATCCTTAGGGGTAGGGCTTCTAAGTGTTTACCTCTGTTTTTTGGTTATAAGGATTGCTCTGGCTTTTGGGGTTGTGAAATTCTAGCTAGAGATGCAAAGTTTCTTAGGGGAACTTCATCATCATAAGAGGGTCCATTGAAGTCCTTCTCATGGAACAACCTCATGTGTGATTCAATCATCATACATTTCGCAATCCACACCTCTACTTTGTACATTTCCGTCTATATTTTAATTCTTCTTTACATAATACTTTTCTTCTTTACAAACTCTCTAACACACACTCTGCTACTACACTTGTCGTAATGAATTTACTAACCATCAAATTTTCAACCTACAATTATCACTCATACAATTTTTAAAATAATCAATAAATTTATCATATTTTCTTCTAATTCTAGAGAATTTCAATTTCTCTTACCAATATTGGATGCACTAGTGTGTGAGGCATATGTCGCAATACTCACTCGAAATTAAGCTACAAAGGAATAAAAGGATGGGAAGGTGGAATATGCTTCGTATGGTGTCTTTTCACAATTCTTTTTTTTTGTCTTCTTCAATGAGAGAGGAAAACTTTGACCCTAGTTATAAAATTTCGTAAGGAAAATTCAAAATTTTTAAATAATAGATTTATGATTTTTTTAATATTAAACTTCAGCTTATTTAAATTTTTTACATTTAACAAGAAGAAAAATCAATTTAAGTAAACAGTGAGTTTACCAAAATATAATGTAGAATTAAAATAATTTAAGAAAAGTTTAGAAACATAACTATTTAATTAAGATATTTTATCCATATATTTTTTTCAGCATCCATAACAATGATAACAGTTGAATTCACAAAAATAAGGAGTAACGATGGGAAAAGTTTTGAGATTTACATTTTATTTTGTGACCTCATCTTCAAATCACATCTAATCGTAGTTAAAAAAGAAAGAAAGAAACATATATGACTAATCATAGTTTTGAAAATCAGACCAAGTTAGTATATTTGATTTGTTTAATTGAGAATTGGTTTTAAATTATATATGACCATTTATATTAATTAATGTCTTTATATCTTGATTTTTTATTATATTATATTATATTAATTTAACACGTTATTTTATATATTTTTATTCTATGTATAAATTTGTTATTGCTAATGTAAAGTATTGCATTCAAATATATAAATACAGATCATTAGTAAAATTTAAATTTGTTATTTAAATTCCAATTTACTGATTAGTAAAAATTTTAAATTTAATCAATTCTTAACAAAGTATTATTTCACTAGTAATTCACTTTATTAAACAAATCTAAAGTACAATAATATTCCAAAATTAACTTTTGTTTCTCTTGAGGGAATTGCTTCATAATATAAGAAAAACCTATAGAATTCTTAATATTCTCCCGGTTGAAATTTTAATAGGTTAAAGTTGTTACTCACTTTATATATCAATGTCTCATTACTACTATCTGATTGAGAAAATAATAGAATCATCTCCAAAAAAAAAGTTAGAACAAAAGCCACAACAAATTTAAAGAAATATCTTTTTAAAAAGGAAAAAAGAAACTAAAAGTATTATTTTCTTTTTAAATAAATGTCTCAACTAAATTAAAGTAGGATTTTTTTTTAATAAATATGTATTATTAACCTTGATATCCTACCTAATCTTACACCTCTAAGGTTCAACAATCATATGCCATGGAAATATGTCTAACATAAATTAAATTATTTAGGAGAATTATTTCATTTATATGCTTTGATACTTTTGATTGTTTTGTTTTCCTTACCAGAGTGATATCATGACTTCTTACTTTGGAATTATATTTATCTTCTTGAATGATGAAAACAAATGCAAAGATAATTGTTTTAAATAGTACAAATTATCATTTATGATAGATCAAGACGAAAGACTATTGTTTGTGAAGACATTATTTGAACATTTGCTATTTAGAAGTTAGATTTTGTCTATGAAGAATGAATATCAATTTTAATGAAGAAGCTTTGTGATCATAGATACTAAATACTTTACCAAAATCTTAGTAAAAGATTGGTCATTGTATGCTTCTAAGTCATACAATAATAAGTTGTATTTGCTAAATTTCTAATGAGTTTGAGATAAGGAAGAATTTTTCCATTTCAAATCACTTCAGTAAGTTTCAAGGACTCTTTGATCAACTATAAAAAAATAAGAAAGTTGAGCAACATATAAAGAAAATATTCACAAACTCAATGCTTTAAGGATTTGGATTGAAGGTAGTGTCACGATCTCTTGTATAGGTTTGTTTACAACTCATTGATGTTAAATTTTCCTTATGTATAACCTTGGAAAGGTGTCTATATAGTTGTATCAAACATGATGGTTTGTATTGGTAACCAATTCAAACGAATATATATGATTTAGAGTGATCTTTTGTATTGAAACTCTTCTAGATAGATGTTTAGGAAAATGTGTAATGTTATGATAAAGACAATAAAGTAAAATTAAGATACTCATAATTAAAAAAACTTTTACTTAAAAAAAGTGTATCAATATGAAAAAGACTCACTCTTGAAGAACAATTTGAGTTTCACATTAATTAAAAATAAATAAAAAGAGTTAACAACATATAAAAAGAAATACACAAAACTAATTAAAGTTTTGAATTGAAAGTGTATAGAAATTGATTCATAACTCATTGTTACCACTAAATCTCTCTAATGTATCTTCTTTAAAATATAGCACAATGATTACAACAAACCTTAGAAGTTGTTTAAGCCTATTTAGAACCTATTAAATACTAATTAGACATTTATTGTTTTAAATATTAGTTTTAACTTTTGCATGAATATGAAAGAGTTTGACGTAAAAATTGGAAGATAGAATTAATTGAAATATTATTTCTTTATGCATTGTAATTGGATTTAAGTTGTCAATTGGATTTGCAAGTTATGTACAATTTTGCTCTCCAAATTTCATCTGTTCCTATTTGAAGTATAATATTTATGGCATTTCAGCCTCAAACACGTTCAAATTAACTTGTATAGTAAAAGAAAGTAATTAAAAGTTAATAAACTTGTTTGGAATACCTAATGCCAAATTCAAAAAAGCACTTAATAAACAACATCTAAAGTCACAATCATTATCATATCCTTTGAGCTGAATTTTTGAGTTACGATATGTCTTAAGTTTCAATGACCTGACGGCAAACTAATTAATGTTTCTGTCTCGTTTGGAACTTACTTTCTTATCTTGTCTTCAGTTTTCAATAAAAAAACATAACATCATATTCACCATACCATTCATGTTTTTAGAACACACGCAAGCAAGACTATTTTGGAAGGGAAAAAGAAAATATAATTTTTGGTAATAGAAGAGTAAGTAAAAGATGCTACCTTAATTTCTTGCACATCCTTTTACAAAAATACCTTTTTACAAAATGAATTGCTTGAGAATGTGTTGAAATTGACATTATTATTATTATTTATATCTTATTTGTATTTCAACAAAAAATGTTCATTAATGTGTGGATTAAAGTTAGAAAAACTAAGAACATATATAAAAAATATTTCCTAATCCATGCATTTAAAAGCATAACTTTATATTAAATTTACAAAAAAGAATACTTCCGTTAGTATAAATCACACATGTAAATTATAAAGAATTAACTACTTTTTAGATAAAATTAAAATTTGTTTTTTTTCAAAATTTTGATATATTTTGATTTCTAAATTTAAAAAATGAATGAATATATTTCTTTCAACCTAATTATATTAAATGAGATGTCAAACGAATTTTCTAACCGAATGTTGATGAAAAATGTATCAAATTACGTAAACAATTCAAATAATAATATATATTAAATATATTTAATATTTTAAAAAATTAGATTAAAAGAAGTATCTTTATTCATTTTTAAAGTTTATAAAATAAAAATATATTAAAGTTTCATATCATATATCACAAATTTCAATAATAAAATATATGAAGAGTAAAAAAAATACTGAACCCAATAATAAAAAGACGCTTAAAAGCCGGTTTAATTCAATTTACAGATTCTCACCTCATAAATTGGGTTTTCAAATTATATACCTTTGAAATTTCAAATCATAACCAACTGAAACGTATACGTATTAGAGACTTTTAGCATCACTTGAAAAAAAAAATCATCTTTTATCTAGCTAGTGAACAAGATTGATATAGAAGAAGTGAAATCAAGGCTGAGCACCATGTAAATTTGAAAGCGACGTAATTGATTTGAAGTCAAGTATGTCCACACTAATTAATATTTAATTTTTTATTATTATTTAACCCACGAAAATCAAATCAAACATTTTTATCTAGTTCACATTTTTTTGCAAGATATTTCATTTGTATTATGTGTAAAAAAGTTTAATAAAGAAAAATTCTTTTTTCTTTATAAAATGTAGTCAACTAAAAGATTAACCAAAAAATTAACTTGAAATCAAAGACGCGATGTAAGAGTTTCATATTGATAAAAGCTTTTGTGAAATTTGTTTATGAATGAAACATGTTATCTCTTTAATCATTTTATAAGGAAAAAAAATGACAAGTATTAGGGCACGTGAAAACCTTCAAGTTGGGTATAGTGACAAAAATGGAATATAGGTTGGATGAACCAAGTCAAATAATCGTTCTTACACGTCCCAATCATGGTGGTCCATTTCTACATCTTATTTTCTCTTTGGAAAAAAAAAACTGAAAAGTATTAGAATAGATTTTTTTTCCCTCTAATTAGAAATTTAGATTTTGGGTAGAAGTTCAAATTTTAAGTTGTGGATCTTAAGGATAGAAGCATGATTTTATTTGTATTCTTATGAATCATGCTTGTCGCTGCTACTTTAGGGAATCAGAGTTTTAACTTTCTAAGAAAAATGGTTAATTACTAAAGAACGAGAGTTAATTTACCATAACTATACTTATACACTTGCGCTCAAATCACATAATTATATATGTAAAAAAAGTATATATATATATATATATATATAAAGTAAATAATATATCTCTTGAGACCACACTAATCCAAATCCCAAAACTAGATAAAAAAATAAAAAAAACTGACTGCAATTTTGTGTTACAATTTCCAAATTCTACGTGCTTTTTTATATTTTGAAGTATATTGATCTCGGATGTTTAAAATCCAACTCCATATTCTTCTTCAACACATAGAAGGGGGTGCAGGTAGAAAACTGGATCAAGAGAATATCCCTATTCTTCTTCACTTCCACGTGGATTCCCTTATTCTTCTTCAAAAGGAATACCTTCTTCGGAGTTGAAACCGGCCACCGCCAGCAGCTTCGTTGGCGCCGTCGTGGTACCAACTTTCAATGTGTAGTGTGGATTAGATGTTGACTATAATGTCTTCACATCTAAATGCAATTGGCTAAATCTAACCTAACACATCTAAATGCAATTGCTAATTTCTTTTGAAATCAAATATAAATAAAGGTACTTGATTCTACTCTTAAGATCTTAGTTAAGATCGTTACAAAATTTTAGTTAAATTTATATTTTTTTATTTCGTTTTAAATAGTATATTATTCAAATTATCTTTGATCATATTTATTGAAAATGAGGCTTACCTTTGAATTAATTTAAAGATATTTATATTCGTTGAATAGCAACATTGCATATGGTTGAATTAGTTCAAATTTTTTTATGTTTCAATCCATTAAATTTGTCTACTTTTTATTTTTAGGTTTAATAGGTTCGGAGGTCCCTATATGTGCGGATTCGTTTCAATTGGGTCTTTCAATTTTGAAAGTGATCAATTGGGTCCCTAATTTGGTCAATTTGACTCAATGATAGCATTTTCGTTAAATGCAGTTAACGACGTTAACTTTTTTAAGCAACTACTTCAGGTGGTTGCGTGATTGGGAAATTGAAGAAAGTGTTAGCTGTGAGGTGCTGGAAGCAAATGATGAAAGATTGGTGAAGAGTTTTGAAAATGAAAGTGATAAGAAGATAGTTGGTGTGCAGAAAAGTTGGATTAAATTTTTGGTTGGGGTTGTCAGTGTTCTATGTGTGATGAACATCATTATAATTGCAATGTTGATGGGAAGAGCTTGATAATTTAGGTCTGTTTTGGTATTAGTAGCAGGGTTGATAATTTTAGTGTAGTTCTGTTCAATGTATTTATGTTTTCTGCAATGAAGATGTACTAGTTTCAGATCTTGAATGAAATGATAATTTGGGGAAAATCAGTTTTATTGTTTTGGTTTCGTTTTGTTGTCAGCAATTGCCCTATGTATAACATAACATATGCATAGAAACTGTAAAACAGTTCTCAATAGAGGTTGAGTAAACAGTTCTGAATAAAACATACAACCTGTAAAACAGTTGTGAATAAAACATACAAAATATTGTATTCTTGGGACCTGAGTAAACAGAACTTTAAGAGGAATTGAACTAAGGGCACAATGATGATAAATAATAAAATTTAATACGAGGAGAATAAAGAAAATGCATAAGCTTCAAACTGAACATTTGTATATTAATACGATTGAATAATCTATTACATACTGAAACATTAAAGCATTATTTAGAAGACATGTCTGTAAGATGATAAACATCAAACTTTGGCCTATTACATTTGGTACTACTAAAACAGATAACAATCTTCAACTCAGAAGTGGTTCTTGTCCATCTGCTTCACCCTCAGGCAATGAACTGGGTTGTTGTTCTTTTTTCTATTGTGGCCCACTTCCCTACAAATGCCACATCTCTTCAGTAATCCCCTTTTTGACATTCTGGTCCTACTTTTCTTCAACTCCCATTACTCTAACCTCCTTTTCTTCTTAGGACACCCAGACATTTGTCTTGTTAATGGAGGCATGACATCTGGACTTTGGGTTACCTCCCAGAGGTTGTTTCCATTAATGGGATATATAATGGAGGAATAAATTTCTTCATATGTAGACTTTTTAAAGCACACAGGTATGTAGTCCTCTAGATCTATGTTGAGAAACCTCATTGTTGCCAGTGCATGTACGCAAGGTATGCCACTGATGCTCCATTTCCTACAGGAGCATGAATATTGATCTACATCCACCACAAACTTTTCCTCACTTTGGGACACATGTCTGACTTCAAATAGCCTTTGTGCAGACCAGCTGTCAATCAATAGGTAACATTAGTTTTTTACTATCTCGGATAACATAAACAAAGATATACATATGTCATAAATTTTGGATACCTGGGAATCCAATTCTTTGTTAGTAGTCCCTCCTTTAGTAGTCTACTCAGTATTTTTGGACAAATTGATGACTTAAATGACGTTACCCTTGACCTATTAGTGGCCCATCTCTTCATCATGTATAGTCTGATTTCCTCCAACATTGTAATAATTGGTTTTGTCCTCGTATTTACCAGCACAATGTTAAAGGCTTCTGACATGTTATTAACTAAAGTATCACATTGAGTTGTGGTTGTGAACCTTGATCTAGACCAAAACCTTCAATAAAGATGTATGTCACACAATAAATATGTTGAGTAACAAGAAAGTAAAAGTTAAGTAAAAGTTATGTAAACCGAGAGTGACAAACCTTGGAGGAATAGCTAACAAGTGTCGAAAAACATCTTGGTTAACCTCTTTGATACATCTCATCTAGTTCTCCAAATTTTGTGGGTAGGATACTATAACTGACCTCCACATAAGCTTTTTCAGGTTCTTTCCAGGGAATTTCTTCCTGAAGTTGGCATATAAATGCCTTACACAAAATCTTTGTGCAACTCTAGGAACAACATCTTGTACTGCTTGTAACAAACCCTATGAATGAAGAATAAAAATGGTGAGATGGTATTGATTTGAATAAATTTGTATAAGATAGAAGTCAATAATTATAATGGAAGTTACCTTCTGTTGATCTGATATGATTGTAAGTGAAGAACACACCTCAGGTCCACCAAGGTCTTCAATCAATAACTACATAAACCAAGTCCAAGTCTCCTTGTTCTCAACTTCTACAATTGCATACACCAGTGGCAACATTTGGTCGTTTGCATCACGAGCCACAACAGTTAATAGCTCACCATAGCAGTTAATAGCTCACCACGATGTCTGCCTTTCAAAAAGGCTCCATCAAGGCCAATGATTGGCCTACATGAGACAAAGCTATCTTTGCATGCCTTTAGGCATGCGTGAAACCTCTTGAAGATTGATTTCCCATCATATGACTCAACTTTCACCTTGATTGTGGAGCCAGGATTTCTTCCTAATAACTCATGAGCATAATCATAAATTCTACTATACTGCTTACTGAAGGACCCATCCACTTCGTCTGATGCATAGGCTTTGGCCCTGTAAGCCATGTTCTTAGAAATTGCTATATTCCATTTCCTAGTAATTTTATCTCTAATATCAACTCCCTTTACATTAGGATTCTCTCTCAATGTTTTTTCCAATTTTCTACTAAGCCATTTTGCATTGAATACTCGCAACTTGTGTTCCCTACTGCATGTATGCTTGTCAACCACAATCCTCAGTTGCCATGACTTTACTGCATCCATGAAACCAAAATATGCCATCCACGGACATTCTCCTTTTGATCCCAAACATTTAACCCTAATTCTTTTTTTATCATTTTTAACAAGTTTCAAATTTTTTCCATTGTCTACTGCATAACTTTTGATGGCATCAAGGATGTCTTGTTTATCCACGAAATATGTTCCCATTTCCCATTTGAAATCAATCATTTTTTTGGGCATAGTAAACGTAGAAAAATGCCCATACCTTTCTTCATCCTCACTGTCCTCATCACTAATATCAGGAGAAGTTAAGTCCTTAGATTGTTATTCGTCATTGAACCAAATGGAATCATTAATATCATCTTCTTCCATATCTGACTCAAACCCAAGTAAAACAGGTTGAACCTCAACCTCCAAATTACCAGAACTGTCACTTACATCACACTGCACATTTATGTCTACTAACCCATCCTCACTATGCATCTCACCATCATCATCATCACGTGATGTACTCCAATCACATACTTCTACTTCTATATCCTCCAAGTCTTGTACTTCTATTCTGTAAGCCTGACCATCTAACCTATGACCCTCACCATCCTATGCTTCTATCCTCTCAGCCTCAACATCAGCTTCCTCAACCTGTATCATTTCTTCATGCACTTCATCTGCTGCTGTCCTCTCAGCATCACCTTCCTCAACCTCTGTCCTCTCACCCTCATCTTCCTGCACTCATCAGTTGTTGTCCTCTCACCATCAACTTCCTCAACCTCTATCCTTTCAGCCTCAACTTGAATTTCATCTTCTTCTCTACTCTTAGCATCAACATCAGGTTGTTGTCCCTCTATCCTTTCTTCTTGCACTTCATCTGCTGTTGTCCTCTCACCATCATCTTCCTCAACCTCTATCCTCTCTTCCTTAACTACATATGCTTTTGTCCTCTCACCTTCAACATCACCTTCCTCAACCTCTATTCTTTCTTCCTGAACTACATCTGCTTCTATCCTCTCAATATCTCCTTCATCAACCTCTATCCTCTCACCCTCATCTTCAGTTGCTTCTGTCATCTCAGCATGACTAACATCCTATGCTTCTATCCTCTCACCATCACCACCTACCCCCTCATCCAATAGTTGCCTCAAACCATCATCTACACCCTCAGCAAATTGTGCAACCTCACCACCCTCATTAACCTGAGGTGCAACTTCCTCACCTCCCTCATCAACGTTGTATTCAATCATGTGAGTCACATCAGGTTGAGAGATAGTGTGCACAACATATAAATGAACTTGTCCATTTAAGTGAGCTAAATTGACCATATGCATGGCACCTACATCATCACACAATGCTTCTAGCTTATCATCTAATACAGGACCACATCCAACAGAAAACCACAGATCCTTAAAATCGTCGTACCCAAGACTTTTCACTACACTAACTACAACAAAATAACTCCATAAGTCAGGATCAAAATACATTGTCTCACTTTCCCCTTCATATTTCAGGCATCCGTCATTCACGAACATCCCCCCATGGTGAATAACAACCTCTATATCATCCATCACACACAACACAATGAACAATATTCTACACCTACAAATAACCCTAAAAGGACAAAAAAATACCGCTTATTAAAGTGATAATGACAGAACAAACAAAGGGTTTAAAGATGGGGGACATGGGGGACCACAACCGCAATATGAAAACACCACATTTTCAGACAACCCCAACCCCACATTCAAAAAAGCATCCCCAGATACCAACGGAAACAACCGAATATTAAATTGACATGTATGTAAAGTACACATACTAACCTTCCAGTAAATTCCACTTCACGCACACCTACAACGACTTCACATTTGACGTCCAAACTCCAATCACGAACCTCCAAAGCCCTACTCAAGTCTATATCCTCTCCACTAAACACTTCGCTCAAGCTTCGGATGCACTCTCCTCTCATATTTCTAGTACCAATTTTAATTTCTTTGAACCCTAAATCCCATTTCAGATTTCCCTAATTTTATATTATTAAGTTTAAAATAATTCCACGAATAATGCCACGTTTAAACTCTGAGCAAGCCACATTTCAAGAAAAAAACATGTCATCCTCCCACCTGTGCAAAAACTTAACCCCGTTAACGAAATTTAACGGCAGGGGCTTATTTGATGCAAATTACCACTTATAAGGACTCAATTGGGAATTCTAATAAGAAGGGGATCAAAATGGGAAAACCTCACATAAATTGGGACAACTAAAGGGTTTAAACCTATATTTTATATAGTTATGTGCTTACGTGCTAAATGACCATTCAATGTTGGTAATTGTAGCTCTAGAACTAAGCTCATTGAGATAAGTAAGTCAAAATCTTTATTTTATGAAGAAATCAAAAGGGAAGGGTCTATCTCTGTTGCAATCTAGTGAAGTGTTATCAACACCAAATTGAAAACATATCTTTGTTATGCTGGATCCTAAAGAGACAGTAGTTCCAGGTGCTCTGGCTGATAAAAGTGAAGATAAAGTTGAGCATACCGAATCTTCTAAAATTCATTCTACATGTCAAAAGCAAGAACCTTTGTTTTGTGACAACCGATCTACCTTAGAAAATTGCACAGAATAGAGCTATCCATTAGAGGACAAAGCATATTGAAATTGCTTATCATCTCATAAGAGATAAAGTTCAAGCTAGTGCAATTAAGCTCCTACCCATTCCTACTTCAGCACAACTTGCTGACATTCACACTAAAGCTTTGCATCCAACACAATTTCAATCTTTGTGTTCCAAGCTGACCATTAAAGATATGTATGTTGTAGCTTGAGGGACTATATTGGATGTAAATGTACTTTATTTTTTTTGTTAATTTGTTTCATTATGTTTTCGTACAGTTTTGCACAGTTGTATACCTTGTATATAAGTTGTACATAGTTTAACATTCAAAAAGATTTACACTTTTCATCCATTCTTTCTCACAACAATCGGTTCCAACATATTGGTTTTTCCATGAGTTTGCTACTACTGCCAAATTCGCTAGAATGCTACTTTTGCTTTTTCATTTGCTTTCACCTTGCAAAGTTCGGAGAGATTCTTGAAGTAATGACAATATTCCTGAGGTTACAATTCCACAATGCACCATTTCAAATATTTTTTTACTCCTTTTACTCCAACCACGTTGTTAACTATTGGTTGGTAGGATTGGTGTTTTATTATGACTCAACTTACAACTCCTGTTCACGTTCCTTCTCATTATGCTCGTAAGTCCTTTGTAACCATTAAAACATTATTCGATATATATACGTTGTGTGAGCTTACGTAAAAGTATTGAATCATCAGGGCCTGTAAAGTACAAAAATCTTTTGCAATTGTTTACATCAAGGTTTAGCAATGACCTTCTTGTGTATCAAAGCTTCAATGAGGAAGAATCGCATATTTCGAGGTTTTGGTCAACTGTGCGGGTGGCTGGAATTAGTTACTCTTCCGAACCTAAATTTCTCCAGAAAAGAGCTGTTGAACAGGAAGTAGCTAGACTTGCTCTAAAAACTATTCTTGAGAAGACCCGAATAGAAGGAACCTCTATTGTTAATGAGGTATGATATATCACAATATTATCATTTCGTTTTTCATTGCTTCATTTTGTTTTGTTTCTAACTATTGATTTTTTTTTTCATTATCTTCCAAGATTTCACCATTATGCGAGTGTATCATAAATGAATATGCTTCTAAATTGCATATTCAAGGAACTTCGTACAACACAGTTCAACAAATATTAGGAGGTGTACTTTCGGTTTTCACATCATCTCTATTTTTCAATGGTACAAGTTACACTAGTGATCTTGCTAGAACCAAAAAGAAAGTTGAGTAGTTCGCAGCACAAGCCGTTATTGTTTCAATTATGGGTATCCTTTTGTGTATGTTTTATTACATATTCTCAATATATTTTATATAGCTATATGCTTACTTGCTAAATGACCATTTAATGTAGGTGATGCTAGCTCTGGAACTAAGCTCATTGAGATAATTAAGTCAAAGTCTATATTTTATGAAGCAATCAAAGGGAAGGGTCTATCTCTGTTACAGGCTAGTGAAGTTATATCAACACCAAATTCAAAAGATAGCTCTGTTACACTAGATCCTAAAGAGGCAGTAGTTTCAGATGTTGTGGCTGATAAAAGGGAAGATAAAGTTGAGCGACCAAATCTTCTAAAATTCATTCTATATGTCAAAAGCAAGAACCTTTGTTTTGTGACAATCGATCTACCATACAAATTTCACATAATCCAACTATGCATGAGAGGACAAAGCATAATGAAATTGATTGACATCTCATAAGAGTTAAAGTTCAAGCTGATGTAATTAGGCTCCTGCCCATTCGTACTTCAGCACAACTTGCTGACATTCACATTAAAGCTTTACATTCAGTACAATTTTAATCTTTGTTGTCCAAGCTGAACATTAAGAATATATATGTTGTAGCTTGAGGGGGGATATTGGATGTAAATGTAGTTTATTTTTTGTTAATTTGTTACATTTTATTTTCGTACAGTTTTGCACAGCTCTAAAGGTACCTTGTATATAAGTTGTACTTTGCTTAACATTCAATAAGATTTACACTTTTCATCCATTCTTTCTCATAACAATCGGTTCCAACACCTTGGTTTTTCCATGAGTTTGCTACTACTGCCAAATTCACAGGAATGTTGCTTTTGCTTTTTCATTTGCTTTCACCTTGCGGAGTTCGAAGAGATTCTTGAAGCAAGGACAATATTCCTGAGGTTAGAGTACCACAATGCACCATTTCAAAATTATTTTTACTCCTTTGACTCTAACCACGTTGTTAACTAGTCGTTGGTAGGATTAATGTTTTATTATAAGTGTCATTCATTTGAAAGTAGCTTGTGCTACACGCACAATTAATGTTCATGGTATTTTTCTGAAAACAGAAAAATCCTAGCAAAGCAATAGTCCATAACATGAATGTAATTCCAAATTCAATAATGTTGAAGTAGAAAATTATTTCTACATGTACAAGCATTTCTACTTTAACATTTGAAAATAGCTTGTGCTACACGCACAATTAAGGTTCTTTATTTTTTTAAAAAAAAGGAAAGATCATAGTAAAGAAGCAGTCTAGGGTCTATGATTTTACCATTCTTTTCCATGCCTATCACATTTCAAGATTTTACCTTTCTTTTCTCTCTCTCCCTCTCCCCC